TTACAACATTTTTCTGTGTTTTTTATCACCATGTGTTGTTTTAATAAATACATTTGATTATATTCACATATTATTTTTGTAAAAATAACATTAAAAATTTGTTTGACAGTTCACAAAGACTTACTGTGAATTAAACAAAACATTTATGCTTTCCAGTTTACAGTATTTTTCTGTTGTGATTTCACATAGTTTTTATGTAAATTTCACGGCCATTTCTTACAGTGTATGACAAGCTTTTTTCTGAACCTCTGCTGCTGGGGCAAAATCTTGCAGCACCCCAAAACCATAAAAATTTATATTTTACCTGACAACTGTATGTGATTGGTTGTTAGGCTGCATTCCTGGGGCTCTAGCATCCAGTGCCCCGTGACAGACATAGAAACAGTCTGTGGAAATTCACTGGTGAATGAATGTCATTAGGTGGAAAATATAGTTTAATTCGTATTGCATGTAGGCATACACTACTGTGCAAACCCAACATTTATAACTGGATTTATAAAAGTATATTTTTCATTTTTCTCTTTTCAGGGAGGGCAGCACCCCAGCCTCCCTATGGGCCGGCTCGCCACTGGCCCTGGCACATTTTGTGGTTTTGCACAGGAGTAAGAAACAGGGCTTAGTGGACATTTCAAAGTTCTTTCTGACAAGATTATAAGTTCAACAGAGTAGTGGAACTGAGTGACCAGACCAGGAAACTGAGTAAAAAGGTAAGTGAGTTTGTTTACAGGTGAGAGGACTGGGACATCTGGCTGCATGAGGAGTGAAATGGAAAGGTAAGTATTTGTCTTGATAAATGTTTTCCAGTGATTGAAATAAAGAACTGATTAATCTCTTTTTCCTTACAGGTACTTCTGGAGGTGAGCAGCATGGACTGGAGGAGGATCCATAGAGGTGAGTGATCTTCAGGAATGGCTGTGATACAGGTAGGTGATCTCTGATTAGTTTTATGGTAGGGGAGACTGGGGGAAGTTGAGCCACCCCTTGTTGCTAGGAAACGGTAAACAAAATTGATCATGTGACCAAATATTTAGGAGCAAGCTGTCATTTCATGGAGTCTGTGAAGGTAAGAACCACATGGGTAAAGTGGTTAAACATTTATTTCTAAAAAAAATAACATTTTTCACTCTTGCAAGTGAATTTAGTCTATCATAAGTTTCATGAGAATTGCGTTTAAACCAAAATAGATCATTTTAAATTTGTTTTATACATCAATTGTGGTATCAAAGAGCCACAACACTAGGTCTTAAACCTAGCATAAAAGTGCACCATTTTAGCTATGGTAGCTCTGGGGTAAATTGAGCCATTTGGCCAGGGGTAAGTTGAGCTGGTGGCTGGTGTCAACATACAGTGGTTTGCAAAAGTATTCATACCCCTTGAACTTTTCCATATTTTGTCACATTACAACCACAAACATAAATATATTTCA